AAACTCTAAGCCACTTAGAAGAGCATAGACTGCCCCTACAGACCAACACGAGTCCTTCCAGCATGCTTTGTCCTCACTCATATGCTTTCTAGTAAGCACGCTTAACTTTAGAGTTCTTATGATTGAGCCACCGAAAAGAAAGATGCACCTTGTTGGTATAGGTAGTGACTATCAATTCTTTTAAGCCTTTCTTGACCATTCTTCCATGATCTCAGGATCCCTCTCATTCGGATGTGGTATCGGTTCATTCATGTACCCCTCCTCTCGGGCGTCACATAGCGAGTCTGGATTCGATGTCAGAAAGCTTTGATATAGACTCCGCAACTACCTTTTCAGACTCACGAAACTTGGATTCAATATTGGCCAAGTGTAATCCAGTTTGGCTAAGTTTGGATTTAGTGTCAACGAGCTCGGACTCGACCAACAGTCTCTTTTCGACCTCTGCGATTAAGGTCTTCTCTGTTGAGGTCGTTAAGTCATCGAGTTCAGACTCGACCAACGTTCTCTTTTTGACTTCTGCGCTTAGAACGTTCCCTATTGAGGTCTTTAAATCGGCAAGTTCACCCCTCAGTTGTGTAATGAGAGGCTCGATCTGATTGTCCTCGACATTTAACTTAGACTTTTCATATTGCAGTCGACAGATTTCATTTTCCAACCTAGTCTGTTTAACTTTATACTTGTTGTTTTTTATGATACATTTTTCTGACGCAGCAAGAACGTTGAGGATCTCTAGCTTTAGAGTCTTAAAATCTTTTTTTTCTTTGGCTAAAATTTCATGTTCTTTCTTGAGCTCTTCCAGTAGAGAGTTGTACTTGGTTAGTTGGGCAGAACAGGTCGCAGCCTTCATAGTGGCTTCTGCGAGTTTGATTTTATTCTTTCGACCAGTAGTGTCGCGATGGGAAAGTTTCACTCCAAATGGAAGCCATTCCGCGGCATGAGAGAGCTAAGGCCTAAAATTGAAAAGTGGAACTCAAGAAATGAACACAGTGAGAAGGTGTAAAAGGAAGTAAAATAAGAAGACGGGAGTTACTCTTGCAATGCATGTGGCAGCTTCGGAGAAGAGCTCGTGAGATGATAAGGGGTTGACGCTACCAATATGTTTCTCCAAATCACTGGAGAAAATAGGACAAAGTTTGTCCGCGAGAGACAGAATGTCTTCCCCACACAGATTGACCAAAAAATGGGGAACTTCAATAGCAGGGACGGGAGGGGTCCTAGAAACCTCAAAAGAAGCCTCCTTGACGTTAGATGGTCTAGCAACGAAGCCTGTGTTGTCAACCCAAGGAGAGTGAGACTGGACTTCATCAAGTTCTTGAGGGATATACCAAGACCGTCTCCTGGGGCTTCGAATTCAGACTCAGCTCCCTCGTGACCTCCGAGAGACGGAGTAATGACCTCGCAAGGGGTAGGAAGGACAGACTCTATTGGAAGACCTGAGGGTGCCACAGGCAGAGACTGTGCAGAAGCCGTAGTAATGAGATCGTCTTTGCAACGCGATCTCTTTCTCCTCAAAAGTTGTTGTTCCATGTCTTCATTCTGCGAGGAATGTTCTATGGAAGCTTCATTCATGCCTAATTCATCAAGAGGAGAAACAGGTCTCCGTCTGGGAATTTTCTTCGGGGCAGACGATTTTAGCAAAGGAGGCCGATGTTGTTCAAGCTCCATAGACCTGGTCTCGGGTGCAGATTGGGGTTGTATGGTGCCAGTATCCGTCTGAGTAGCCCTTTGCTTTTCTTTTAAAGTAGAAGAATTTGTGGCTACCTCTTCTCTCGCCACTGAGCTAGTTGAACCCCTTCCCAATGGGACTTCACGGCGACGATTATTGGTGAACCTCGACAGTCGAGGGTTCATTTCTTCTACACAACTGTTGATGCTTGATTAGTAAAATTCTAATGAGAATCTAGAAAGGAAAATAATGGGGGAGTTCAACCTTCCGTGAGTTCGGCTGCAAGATCGCAGTTCCTCAAGTTCCGATTGGATAAGAGGTCGGGACTGTAACGATCCCTAAATGAGAGAACTGCATTGCCAGCTAGAACCGATCTGGTCACCTTAGTTAGCTCCGGTGGAGGATCGATCAGGGCTGCGAAGACAAGAAATTGGTTTTTACGAGCACGCCAATTACATATAAAAGAGAAGTGGAGAATGTTTTTTTTTTTTGAAAAAAGCTTACTCAATCTACCGAATTCCATGGGAACCTCACAATAAGGGGCCCCTTCATTGGTCGTCATTAACCAATTCTCCGAGACATAGAACCACCTTTGTTTCAAGTTCTTTATAGAGGTGAGATCATTCACAATCAAAGAAAACCCCTTCTCCATCACTGATCGGTTGACCAATTTCGCAATATCGGGGAAGCAGCTTAGGTAAACTCAGCCAGGGGCTTTGGAAGATTTTTTGATGGTATGGACAGCGAGCATTTGTTCGACAGATAAGGTGCAGGTTATGTCTTCACAAAATCTCCACCACAAGTACCAGAAACCCATAAGTGTACCCCATCCGTTGGGTGCTAATTGGGTAGGAGCTAAATTAATAGCATTAAGGAAAAATTGGGCGAAAGGATGTAAGGGTAACTTGAAGTCGTATTCTAATGAGGGTAAAAGCTAACACAACCTAATGATATTTGTCGATCGTTTCACCCGCCGCAAGGATTCTTAACTCAATGTCGTTTAGGATGGAATAGTTATACCTAGTAACTCCTCAGGACAATTCAAATATGAATAGTCAAACCAGTCGTCACTAATTTTCGATGACTCACTCCGCTTGCACCGACGAGACTTTATACTTTTAGTCGGAGGGTTCTCTGAAGGAGTTTGAGAAGTCGAAGTCCTATGAGAACTAGCATCGAAAGAATTTGTCCTAGCCATTTAGAAAACTTAAAAGGCGGGAAGGAAATTAATACTGACAGCAAAGATTACCTAGTGCGAAGAAGAAAAACAGAGCAATTTACTTCGTTGATTCGAGGTAAATGGAGAAATCCCATGCCCTAGCTGTTCAACGAAGCACTTGAAGTTATGGAAATCGAGTAAAATTCGCATTGGAATGTTATAAATACCTAACGAAAAACAGCGTTAGTTCGGAAGAGTAGGGGAAAAGATGAGTTCGGTTCCGTACTCATGTAAGACGAATTGATTGCTACTCGAAGAATTTCAAATTAAGACCTTTGAATCTTGTTGAAGTAGAGGCTATTGTTTAACCTTCAAGTTTTAGGACATGTCATCACTCAATTTAATTAGAAGGAAAAGGTATATAGTGAATGCTACTTAAAAAGGGGGACCAGTTCAGATGAAAGCCGACCTGGGCATCCATTGAACGGTTTTTGAATCTTACACACACGTCGCGTCAACCGCTTCCCCCCACTAAACGCATGTTTCCCTATTTCTGTGGAATTGAAACCGTCTAAATTCAAATGAGGGTATCTATCTCCAACGTTTACTTTGCTCATCTCCTATGAATACCAATTCAAGCTGAGGTATCTCGTCCGTAAAAACTGGTCAACTCAAATTTAAAGTAATTACTTAGCATAAAGACTAACAAGATTGTCGGAGTGCTGACTTGTTTTTGCAGGTTTATTTATCTTGGAGTGTTCTCGAAGATCTATTGTGACTATCAATATTTTTCAGTACGAACAAAAATAAATGGTATATTTGAAAAACCAAAACATGGTTGCTATTTTACTTATTTTGCTAATTTTTTTTTACCATATCTCAATTTGGTCCATATATATATAAATAAACTAAATTTAAAATATTGTACATATTCGTCATATAACAAATTATTATATATATTTTATAATAATACATGATATGAAAGTTATAACCTAGTATAAAGAGGTATATAAAGTATGTTAATTATATCAATAATAATTGTTGCTTTTAAAAGTACACATAACATATATGTTGTAACCTATAATAAGTACATGTATACAACATTAACCTAAAATGAAATTAATAAAAAAACATGAACAAAACTTAATTGCAATATATATATTAAAACCATCATGAGATGGCTCAAATGGTCAATGTTGACCAATGTAAATAGCAAAGGACTTAGAGGGAACTAAGAAAAAGTTTTAAATCAAGACATCTAAAACCCTAAATTTTGTAAACATTAGACATTTATGAAAATAAGCTTTCAAAATGATGTATCGAAGATATTATCTCAAGAAAGAGTAGGTTAAACATATGGGCTTAAATAAAAGTCAACCCACATATGGGCTTTGACAACAAATGAAGGCCCATTTGAGATATGCCTTGAAACACCCAAAACAATATATACGATTTGATTCAAGTGACTAGACTTATTTAGCTCACACACCTTTGTTGTCACATATCACTCTGTCTCCTTTGTTTTCTCGGGTTGAAAGGAAAGAAGTTTCTCTAATTTTCTTTTTCTGTTTACAAAAAAGCTGTACCGGCGTATCAAAATTTGTGATTTATAGCAAGATTTTCTTTAATTAATAAAAATAATTAGAAAATATAACAAGACCCCTAGATAGAAATGGAATTCAACGGTTTAATAGAAGATTCCACGTTATGCACTACAAGAAATTTACGTTTCCCCGACGCAATATCGGAAAAAACTTCGGGATAAGCAACTCCTGACGAAAATTGTGAAAACGTCAGGAAATACGGATTTTCCCGACGTTTTTAAAACCGTCAGGAAAAGGGCTTTGCCCGACATTTAATAAAACATCGCGAAAAAAGGAGCCTTTCAGAGGGTTGGATAACACATGACAGTATTATTAAAGTAGTCAGTACTAAAATTAGTAAAAGAAGGTCGATCGAGCCCTTGTATGATTCTTTGGAGTTGAACAATATAGAAACAACTGTGTATGATCCTAGTATATATAAAGGTTGCAAAATTAGAAGATATGAGATTAATAATACATATATTACTACCAAATAATTAAACACAAATCTCTTATTCTTAAGAAAACAAACTTCGTTGAATATCACCACATGCAATGCATATAAATTTCTACATGCAGTGATACATTTACAAATATAAAACAACTTCTCATCAACCCTAATAAATAATCAGATATATATCAGTTTCAAATGAAGAGAAACCATTCACTTTGCAGATGATCTCTCTCTTTATACATAAAAAAGAAAAAAAAAAGAAAAAGAAAAAAAAGACACTCTAAAATCTTCAGCCTTGCTCTCATATATGATTACAAGTCAACAAAAGTTTCCAAACCCACAAGGGTTATGCGCTTGAAGCTCACAAGTTTGGGGCAAATTAGGGTAATTAGAAGACGATGAAAGCAGGTCGTTCATTAAATCAACGTTCCATTCGGGGCACGGGCCATGATCGTGATTATTATTTATCTTCGTTTCGTTAGTCCCGAAGCTCGGCGAGAGCGTCGGGCTCTCGAGACTCGGGAGTTGGACGAGCTGGTTTACATCGTAGGCGGGTAGAAAATGTTGTTGTTGATCAGAGGCATAGGGCAGCTGGTCTGAATTATTGAGCAGATGGGATGAAGTCATGGCACCTGAAAATGAAGGAGACCTGACAAATTCAGTGGTGTTGTTTTTGAGATCATAAAAGGCTTGTTGTTGATGATGATATGGGCCATTCCAAGCTCCAATGGATTGGTTTTGATTAGGGCTTGGCTTTTTGAATGCTCTACACACCACCCATCCTTCTTCCTGCAATATACCAAACAAATTCAAATGTTAGGGTTATGTTGGGTAATATACATATATTTTTTTTACTAACAATATAGTCTTTGTATTTTTAGAAATATATATATTACAATCGAGCCATGCCCAAAGTTAGATCTTGTGGAAGGAATAGTTCCATGGATAAAGGGTTGTTCGATAACGATTTTGTTTTTCGTTTTAAAAAATGATGTATACCCTCCTCTCCATTCTTTTTTTTGGTATATTTTTCGTCATTCTTACTTTAAGTCTTAGCCAAATTTTTTAAACAAAAACAAAAGTTTTTTTTGAGATACTTTTATTAGTTTTAAAAATTTGGCATAGATTTTAAAATGTGTTTAAACTAACAAAGTAAAGAAAGCAGGGAAGTATGTTTATACGCTAAATTTTAAAAATTAGAAAATAATATAGGACTTGTTTGAACCATTTTGTTTTTGGATTATTCAACTGTTTGAAAATTAAGCTTATAATTAAACACTGTACTTATTATGTTTCTCTGTCTTAGTCTTTTTTTTTTAAATATTTTCAAAATACATCTGAGCCGAA